CGGTAATACCATCCAAGTAAGTAGTGGTACCATAAGAGCCTTGGATCCTACGCTTTATCAAGTGGTAGTACCGTCTAACGCAGGCGGTAGTATCGCCAGTACCTCGAAAACCTAGGGATTTAAATTTTTGACTTTATTTTTGAAGTCATTTGAGATCTATAAATACCCCCACCATGTTTGCTTGGTGAAAGCATGAAAACTTATGATTTTAAGTGTGTAAACTCTCTTGAAATGTGTTAAGTCTCTTCCTCCTTAAGTTTAGAAATTATTCTAAGGGAAGTGTGGGATCTTCTTATAAAAGTAATATGAGAAAGTTATATCCTAAACCTGTGAAAAGGAGAAAAAGTTGTAAGAAGGGTAGTTGATCTTCGTCCATTGAAAAAAAGATCGGTAGTGAAAGCCGATCACCTTGAGGGAAGAAGAATCATGAGTGTACGTAAGTCAAGATGATCGAACCACTATTACTAACTGATTTAATTGCTAACTATCCTTACTCATATTCTAAGTTAAATGTATTTTTGATATGTACTTTTTGATCGAACTTTCAAATTGAAACTTTATTTCGAAAGCACTAATTAAAACTTTTAAATTAGAACTTTATTTCGATCAAACTTTGAAATTGCACAACCTTCTCGAGTAGTGTATGGAAGATAACGAAGGGAGCTTGGTGTTAGCCCAAGTAATAAAGATGGGACTCTTTATATTATGTCTAAGATGAAAGAAAAGATCAGATTGTAGTTGGCAATGGTAGTGTCAGAGGAGTTATCCAAACTTTGTCACCAAAGACTATATTTGAAGTTCTGGTATATCAACGGGGAAGCTTTAATATTTGAAATCAATAGACATTGGTCTATGTGAGGACTATATTTTTAGTATAAAAAAAGGGTTAGTTTCTCAAAAATTGGTAGGCCACCTAAAGCAGGAAAGTTAGAGTTGGTTTATATAGATGTATGGGGATCATCACAAGAATCATATCTCAGGAAGGTCATTATGCTATGTCACCTTCATTGATGACTCTATCAGAAAGGTATTAGTTTATTTTTTGAAAAAAAAATATAGAGTTTATATTGTTTTCAAGAAATTGAAAATGCTAATATAGTGTGAAACAAGTTTGGAGGGTAAAGCGACTCAAGTTTGACAAAGGAGGAAGTATAGAGAACAAAATGGAAGTATAAAGAAATTTATGCAACTAGTGGAGCTAAACTGGAAATAACTATTCCTAGAAAACCCAACAAAATGGAATAGCAGAGTGCATAACAAAACTTCGAATGAATGTGCTAGAAGCATGATGAGAATAGATGTAGGCTTACCAAAGATGTTTTGGGCTGAAGTTGTCAGTACAACAACTTATCTTGTCAATCATGGACCCATAGTTTCTCTAGGTGAAAGATTATCAAAGGAAGTTTGGAGTGGCAAGTAGGTAAACATTTCATATTTAAGAGTGTTAGGTTGTATTTTTTATGTGCATATTGATTCATTTGAAAGAAGCAAGCTTGACCTAAAGTCTAGAAAATGTGCTTTTATTAGCTATGACACTGATGAATTTGGCTATCAGTTTTGGGACTATGAAAATCAACAAATCATCCGAAGCAGGGATGACATACTTAATAATAAGGCAATATACAAGAACAGATTATATGCAGAAGCTACCAACACTAATGCCAAACCTAACATAAAAAAAAATGAATATATTAAGTTTGGGGAGATCTTTGAAAAGAAAGTACAGTTAGAGGATCGATAGAGTCCTATGGGTGAAGTTCCCTAAGAAAAATCATGCATTCCAATACTAGAAGTACTAGTATTAAGGTGTTCCTCAAGAATTTCTATACTAGTATAACATTATTCACCTTCTTTGTATTATTTGTTATTGACTAATAACGGTGAAATGATGAAGTAATTCAGGTTATAGATTCAATCAAATGGGACTTTGCCATGAAAGATTAGATGGACTCATGTCGAACTAGATGTGGGAGTTGGCTGAACTATCTATAAGAAAAAAAAGCTTTGCATAACAAGTGGGTTCATAGGATTAAAATGAACATGGTGGAAGCAAACATTACAAAACAAGGTTAGTGGTAGAAGGATTTCAATAGAAATAAGATATCAATTACACTATGATATTCTCTCCCTTAGTGAAATTAACAACTATCATATTAGTGTTGAAAATTATAGCCATAGAGAATTTACATCTTAAATAATTAAATGTAAAGATAACATTACTTTATAGTGATTTGGAGGAAGAAATTTATATAAAGTAACCATAAGACTTCATGATTGCAAGCAAACAAAGCATAGCGTGTAAGCTAAGAAAGAGTTAGCATGGGCTGAAACCAGCTCAGAGATAATAGTTTAAGAAGTTTGATAGCTTCATGAGTAGTAGCAATTTTATAGAATATCAACCATATCATTATTACTATATTAAGTGGTTTGATAATAACTTTATTATTCTACTTTTGTATGTAGATGATATGCTCATTACGGGTGTGACATATAAGAGATAAATAATTTAAAGTGAAAATTATAAAAAAAATTTGTAATGACAATCTAGGAGTTGCCAAGCATATTTTTGAAATAGGATTACTAAAGACAGGGAAGCAATAACTTTTAAAAGAATAACTTTAAAGACTGAGAAGAAATGAGGATATGTGTAGAAAGTTCTTATATCTTGGTTATTAAAAGTTTGATGTATGATATGGTTTATACTACATCAGACATTGCACAGGAACTAGTGAGTAAGTATCTGAATAACCCTAGCAAGATAAAAGTCGTCAAAACCTTAGATATCTATAAGGTACCATACATATGACAAATTTTAGAAGTGGAGAATTGATATTAGAAGGTTTTGTTGATAAAGACTTAGTTGGAAACATCGACAATAAAAAGAGCACTACAAGGTATGTATATACTCTTGAGGGTACAACAATGGGCATCTCAACTGTAGAAAATTGTTGCTTTCAAAGCTAGTAAGTAGATGGTTTGGCTTCAATGTTTCTGGGAAGAACTTGATAAGAAACAAAAGGAAAGTGTCATATATTTAGGTAGCTAGAGTATAGCTCAATTAACAAACAATTTGTCATTCCCATGCTAGAATAAAGCATATCCAAATGAAGCATTTGGACACTGCTAGAAGACAAAGCCCTTAAGCTTGAGAAGATTTAAGAAAATCAAAACTCTACTGATACGCTAACCAAGACACTGACCATTAATAAACTGAAGTTATGTTAAACTTTGGTTGGCCTACACAAGTAAGAGAAATGTTGAGCTGTTGTATTGATCAAGTGTCAAGGCGTGACTGAAATCAATTTTCAAATGGGAGATTATCAAAAGTCATCTTTGACTTAGCAAAAGTGTTATTAACAGCCATCTTTTGACTTTGGTAAATGAGCTTATAACTATTTTTTTGATTTATGGCTATAAATTAAGGGCTGTTAATAACTAGTTAGGACTGTTTAGATTAGTAGATTATATATGATTTTCTTTTCTTACTGTACACACACTATAAATAGAAAAGATCTCTCTTATTAAGTGTGCATTGAGTAGAAGCCGAAGTGGTTGAGGGTTAGAGGTTGATGAGGACTAAGTGGCTTTTCATATTTGTAATTTTTTTTATCTATAGCGAAGATCTACGACGACTTGGATGTAGTTTAGTTTGTGTGAATCATATAAATCTCTATTTATTAATATTTTATTATTTCTAGCTTCTTTGAATATAGTATTACGAGATTTGTTTTTCTCCTAACAATAAGAATTCTTCGTTTTATTTTACACCATGTCTCCTCAACTCAAACCTTCTACCAGCAAAACCTTAGTTCCTTGCTTAACTAGTAATCATGGTGTAAATTTTTGGATTGTAATTAGGTTTCCAACAATGGAAGTACTTGAGATAATCATGAGTTTAGCTCAAGATGGATTCGAGACATATTGAGCTTTATCATAATTCAGCTTAAACAAATCTAATCGGCCTCGTTATATCGAAAGTTTTGAAGATGCTTGAACGTGCTAGAATTGCACTTTTCTAGATCAGACACTATTTAAACGAAGTGAGTATTAGCAACGACAAGCACACATCAAATCAATTTGTCCAAAATGCAACAACAATGTGTAGTTCTATAAGAACAAGATTTTTGCTGTAGGGCTCATGACTTGCTTCTAGTTTGCACATAATTCATAGTATTTTCGACATATAAAAAATTATCATCTCTTGTTTTAGTTTCTCCGACTTTTGCTTATGTCGACACAAACATAATCTACAAAATTTTGAACCATGGTAAGGTTCCAAAGGATAGTATTTTTCAGTGACTTATAAGCGCTTATTACATGCATTATAGCAAATGCATATTAGTCATTTAACAGCATCGAGATAAAAGAAGATATATTGGAGCACTAATGATTTATTACTACACTAGCCAAAAAAAAAGTATCATATAATCCATGGGTTTTAGATGCATATAGGAACCCAAATGACATGCTTTGCACAAAAAGACAGATCCATTCTAAAGTTCTATTCAGACAGTTTAAATGCTATCTGCACCAAATCAAAATGATTCATGTGAATAACATGAATCACATCATTTAATTAGGATTGCCGCTTTCACCATCTGATATTGTGGAGGGTTTTAAGTGACTTTCTACCATGATTGCTATTAATTTCCAACAGACCTTGTATATGTATATATAGTGTATATGCCATTGGCTACATATATTCGACTTTGTTAGAGATAGCCCAAGCCAATAACGTGAACAAATTTTGTTGCAGACTTGAATTTCCCATACATATACAGATCCTATGTGAAAACAAAAGAAACAAATGGAAGATGTAAAACTTAAGCATGTATTCATGTGAATTTTCGTTTCTCTAATCACTAGCTTCAGGCATATCATAAGAAAAACCTGTAGCCCTACAGAATCAACTTCCTGACATGCATGAAGTATGTGCTTCTAATGTCATACCTTTCAATTATTAATATTATTTGACCATACTATTTCTACACTAGAATGAACAAAGAATTAAATGGTGGCATTAGTCTCATGTACTTGTAGAGTAATATAACTTCTCCAGTCTTCGGCTGCGACATTTTTGGTTGTGATTATTTTCCCAATCTTTACACAAGTGCCAATGTTTCTCTTGGGCATCTACATGTACAAGGCATCTGTTCCAATAATGCCATCTTACTATTGGATTCTTGCAATCTTTCTGGCTTGTACTACCATGTAAATTTAATTTGTCCGTATGTTAATTTATATCGTTGTTGTCAAAGGTAACACAATGAACCTGTTGCACTCCATAGTAAAGAAATCGTACAGAAGTTCGTACGATAATCGAGTAAAAACTTTACCATTTTTATTAATAGGAAGGAAGGCATAAATTGGCCTCCTTCCGCTACTGTTAGGCAAATTTGGAGACCATAAATATGTGAGAATCTAGAGATGTCGAGATTGAAAGCTCGACATGTCTCCAGAGAAGAAGTGCAGTACTGGATAAAAGAGAAGGTCTATATTTTAGGATGATCAAAGTGGGAGGATGAAGAAATGTGAAGCTGCATTGGAAGATATATATATATATAGCAACCCTCAGATTCTGAAACCTATTGAAGAGGGGGAAACGGTCGGAAAGGACGACGAACTTGGGGTCAGCCGTTGCTACGCACAAAGCAGCGATCAAGAGTAGATTTATGCGGCTTTTTGTTTCATGCTGTGGCTTATTAATCATCAAGAAACCCATGAACTCGACAAAGAAAAGGCTTAAATACGCATCAAAGGTGAAGAGAGAGTGGGGATCGGTGATTAGGTTAATGGCACCTGGAACTGGAGAACTCGTAGAGCTTCCCTCGGGGAGAGAAGACGATGAGTCCGACCTCGGCGTCGCACAGCACCGATAGCTCGAAGGCCTTCTTCAGCAGCCCGTTCCTCCGCTTGGAGAATGTCACCTGCCGGCTCGTCGCGTTCTCTATCCGCTTCATCTCCGTCTTACCCCTCACCATGACGATGGTCGGCGATTCTCCTCCTCCCTCTCCCCCCCTCACTAAAACATGGATCGATGTCAGCGATCTTAAAGGACAAAAAGGGATAACATCTACCGGATCTCACAAGATATGGCAAGATCAAGAGCAAGACCTTCTTTTTGTTCTCAGGGGGAAATAATGGCGACTGGGAACGACAAGGTCCACCTCTTTCTCTTCCCTACGACGACCCTAGAAAAAGAAGAAGAATACAAGCAGTTGGATGATGGACCCAGAAAAACACCATCCGCCGTCCTTTTGTTTGGACCTCATTAAAGTAAATATGAGGAAGAAAATTTGGAACCAAAACAAGGAAAGGATCTATTGAAGCCACGTCTTTCTTTTTGTGGGAATCGGCAGTAATTGGAGTAAATTATTTGGGGAAAGAGCTCAGATTCTCAACTTAGCGTCGACCGAGGTTGTCAGTTCCGTCGCCCATGATTTGCTGTTTCTGTTGCTGTCTCGGTGGCGTCCCAAAGACCAAACATGAGAGATTCTGTTTTATTAGTTATCGGCTAGGGGCTCCGCTGGGCTGCTATCTTTATACGTTCGTTTCGTGTTGGGTGGCTAGATCGAGACACAGGATCTGCACCCGTGTCGTCCTGGCAAGGGACCACACCTAGCTGATGGCTTTCGAGAGGGCTGGACAGCAAACACCGACTCACTGCTTGCGAACCGCGCGGGGTCCACAAGAAACATGCGCGATCCGCATCTTCACAGGACCAGAAACCTGTTCCCGACACGAGTCGAGACAGGAAAACCCACCTCGTCGGCCGTCCACCGTAGGCTACCGTACATCACGCGGCTCATGATGCCGCCACGTAAGCAGTGCGAAGAGGGTCTCGCGATCGTCGCCCGACTCAGGACGGCACAAAAGGCCGTGTCGCCCGTCACGTGTCTCCGCTGTCCTCCCCCCCGTCCGTCCAAGGCTTCAACCCTCAGCTCGTAAATGCTCGGCTCAGATCTCAGTGCTTTTCTCGTTCTAATTCCTTTCCACTGTTCTCTTGGGCGATATCGGTGGTGGTGATGGCCGGGCATTTGCCATTTAGATGGTGAGTTTAGGTTGTTCAGCTTTCCCTTAAAGCAGCTGTCAGCTCGCACAGTACGCTCCACTGCTACGCTTGGATCCCCGCAGCCACTATTTCGGGCCTGCAGCCGGTGGAACTTAGGGTGGGAAAGGATGGGGGCCGGGACGGCTTCGTCATTTCTTGGAAGCAAACGTCTCAGAAGACGATGTCTCGGCTCTCAAAAGTCGCTGGTGATGGGTGAAGAAGCTATGAGACTACCAAGTGGGTATGTGACTAGCTTTCTGTTGAAAGGAAATGCGCGCAAAGAAATAATTGGGCAGGCAGAACCCAATATACATTTTTGTTTTGCCTGCGGAAGCCTTGTGGGTCTATTAAAGCGTGCATTTAAAATGGCATGCCTACGACCAACTTTATTGGTACGTGAGTTAACGGTAACGATGGGAGTTCTGCTACCATGAAGGGGTGAATCACCCATGAAAAGTATTTCTTCTTTTCGATGGAATCACACCTAAAAATTTGAAGGTTTTTTTTCAGCGGTGATTCACCCATATTACAGGGAGCGAAGTAGTTTAAGCTATGTTTTAATAAGTAAAACATAAATTATTTATTCAACTTAAAATATGTCAAGTAACATGTTTGAATAAAAGTTTGTAGGAAGATAACAACCCTATTCTAGGAGAACTTCTGCGAGCACCAAGTTGATTAATATGTGAGCTTTTCTATTGATCCAAATGACTTAATAGCCTTTCTGAATAATTCTCGAGAGATAATAAAAAATAACTATTCAACAATACTAGGAGAGAAAATCTAGACAAAATTTCATCAATAACAATAATGAATCTAGTAGTGATTACAATAATATAACCTATACTAGCCAACTTGGAGGAAAGATTGAAAGACCCATCACTATTTAGCACAGTAACTATGATGGTTAGTTTTTATTTGGGCACCAAAAGGCAAAAGGTCTCCTCAAACTTATGTTAAATAATGTAACCATTAGATACAATAAGAGCACGACACCAAGTTGATTGCAATATGGAATGACGGGTGCAAAATAATCTATTTTGATTGATCCAAAAATCCATAAAAGGGAAAGGGAGCCATACTTGGCAATAAGCAAATAGGAAAAATTCACTTAATAAGCTTAACAACTTTGAATGTCACGAATACCCAAACCTCCGTTACTCTTTTTAAAAAGTGATGCAATATTACGAGAGTTATTTATATTCCAAAAGAATTTATAAGTGATTTTCCGGATTCTACAAATAAATTTGTAGAGACTCCCATAAGCATATGGGTAAGAATAGTATTAACAACATAATTTACAAGAATTCTTCCTAGGATATTTATCCTAGGATATCATGCATTTTTGTCGTCCCTGAATTCTTCTTAGGACATTTATCAATAAGATTGTCGTCATCTATCATAGATTCTGGTTAGGTTAATAAAAACCCAAGATATTTTAGGATCCAACTGCCTCCTTAATTTCAAAGAAACTATTTAGTTTGTGGGATATAGTTTTTAGAGAAAAGGATTTCAAATTTTGATTTATTGATGTTAAGTTTAGAAAATAAGAAAAATAAATTCAACACTATGAGTTGAGAATAAAATTTTTGATTCATATGGATAGAGAGGAGAATAATTTTAGCAAATATTAAATAAAATTTTTTAGCAAATATTAAATAAAATTTTTTGATCCCTTCAATGTTAAAAAGAGTGAGTATATTTTTGAAGGTTGGATGGTTTAGCCAGGAACAGAAAACTTTCAAGACAAGGATGAAAAGATAAGGGGAGATCTAATCCTCTTCTATAATCCCAAAACCTTTAAAATAAGGATGAAAAGATAAGGGGAGATATGATCCCTTGTCTAACCCTCTTATTGTTACGAAACCAAGTAGAGAAATTTTCATAAATTAAACATGTAAAATTTGCAAAGGAAACACATGCCATAATCATAAAAGAAAATGATGAGGAAATGTTTAGACAAATAAGGTTATCATTTAAAGATACCTAAGACACATCAAGACAAAAGCCTTGTTTATGTCAAACTTATCGAGGATTGGAGGAGCGTTAAATTTGGATCAATACATAAAGTGAGCTAATTAGTTAACAATGAGAATATTATCATGGATGGCATGTTTTTCTTGGAAATAAAGACTAAATAGGTTTTAGTCTAACTTTCAAGGAGTAGAGGAGGCATGAAAGTCATTGAAAGTATCTAAGATAGAATCTTTAAAGTAAGGCCAATAGGATTTCCCTCGGATTTTTCTCAATTTTCTCATATAGTTGGGGAAATCTTTTCTGCTATCATGCTTCCGTAAGATAGTGCTTCCGTCAAAAATACCAATCTTAGATCGATGCAAAGTAAATAGTTTATGAGCGAGAGGCTTCGTGAGTAGGGCAAGAGCAGATCGTTGCTATTGCTACTGTTGATGTTGCTATGGCTACGACGATGACGACTGTAGTAGATGAGAAAGCTGCAACAATGGAGAAAGTTATAGCAATGCTATAACAAAGGAAGAAGCCACAGTAGAGGAGGAAGTTGCAATGACGCTACAGCAAAGGAGGAAGTTGCAGTGATGCTATAGCAAAGGAGGAAGTTGCAGTGATGCTATAGCAAAGGAGGAAGTTGCAGTGATGCTATAGCAAAGGAGGAAGTTGCAGTGATGCTATAGTATGGGAGGAAGTTGCAATGATGCTACAGCAGGAGAGGAAGCTGTAGTAGAGGAGATAGTAGGAGAGGAAGCTGTAGTAGAGGAGGTAGCTACAGCAAAGGAGGAAGCTACAATAGAGGAGGAAGCTATAGTGATACTACAATAGAGGAGGAAGCTGTAGTGATGCTACAATAGAGGAGGAAGCTACAGTGATGCTACAATAGAGGAGGAAGCTGTAGTGATGCTACAATAGAGGAGAAAGCTGTAGTGATGCTACAATAGAGGAGGAAGCTGCTACAGTAGATGAGGAAGCTGCAACGATGCTATAGTAGATGAAAAAGCTATAGCAAAGGATGAAGCTACAGCGATGCTATAACAGAAGAGAAAGCTGTAGTAGAGGAGGAAGCTGTAGCGATTTGGTGAAGAAATCTACAGCGATTTGCTCTTAGCAGGAGCTGAGGATCGATAGTTGACAATGAGGCAGCAAGCTGCGATTGATACAGATCACAACCTGATGAAGACGATACTACGGCGACGAACAACCTGAGCCTGGGGTCGATGCAAGCAGCGCCGGTGAAGAAGAAGGCCACATGGAGGAGAAGAGGGAAGGAACGGGCAGTGGTTGGAGAGGGATCCACTGCCAAGGGCAAGTAGCCGGTCGCACCAAAACAGGCCCTCATTGTTGTGGCCGCACTTATGGCGACGCCGGATGTGCCAGGTGTGATCACGACAACGGCTAGGGTAGCAGCAGAGGCATCATGCACCGTATAACGGACGGTAGTACAATGGATGAAGAGGGGAAGAGTTCCCCTTTCTCTACTCTACAGAGGGATGAATAGAAAATAAAAAAATTATTGAAAAAACTTGAATGCATTAACATGTCCCTCTCCTATTTATACAGATTACGAGGGAGAATTTTCTTCAACAGAATAGAGGATTTCTCAACTTCCTCGTATAGTTGGAAAAATCTTATCTGCTATCAAACCTAACCCAGTAACAAAAAAAAGATCTCGAACAAGCTTATGGGTATTAAGATCAAACACCGATGGGAAAGAAAGAAGATTTTCCAACCTTACAACTAAACTCATTCATTAAAGAAACTTCTAACCTAACTTAATGGGAAAGCGTACTGCCTAACTTTGTGAGTCAAAACTGATGTTTTCATTATTGACCGGGTTGACTTATAATTGGGTACTAGAGACAGAAGTCTAAAAAAATAGCTCAACCAGTCTCGCTGTTTGCTCTTGATTTCCAAGTATGTCCATAGTAGTTCCATACTTCCCTAGAGGAGCGAGGTGGAGAGGTGTTTACTGGCGCATTGACTCATTGCCTCTCACAATTCCAAGATAATATAAAAATGCTAAGCAGAAGTAGAGGATCTATTCTCTTGGCATGAAGCCGTGGCATGAACAGTAGCATTAGGAAGAGTTACTGTTTTTTCTTCGTTTTCTGGTGTGTATAAGAGCAGTGAGGTGGGGCAGAGAAGTAATCTGTGGAGGTTTCTAGCGAGCTTTGGGGCACTCTTCCTCGTAAAATCTCATCGATTCAGGGTCATCATCATCATCATCATCATCGTCA